ACAGAGAGAGAGAGAGAGAGAGAGAGAGATAGAGAGAGAGAGAGAGAGAGAGAGAGAGGTCGTGGAAATAATCTTCTAAAACTATGTACGGGTTTCTAAGCATTCCATTAAACATCAATATTTTCGTTATTTCATAGAATTTTTATGCGAATCTATAAACCACTTGTAAATTAATTGTTTGCGAGATGAAATCATAAATGTTGGAAGATGTGTCAAAGTTTAATGACCAAGAAAAAGTAACGGTTGGAGAATCCAAAACGTGGTTGGAATCCTAAAACGTTTTATTGGGTCTGCCGAAAAAAGGACGGGCGAACGAGTGGACGGAAATTAAGACGCCATAGTTCAATTTTATCTTTAATTAGTGTTAAGCAAAATGAAATTGACCGTCAACAGGGGTCACATTTAAATGTATGGGTGGTTACTTTTTGAACACCACCATTCTTACGAGACATCGTGAGGAAATTCGCTGAGGTCCCATTTTTATCATGCAGTTGGATATAAAATACATTCGCCATAGTACTTTTCGTTACCGGCGACCAGGTCAAAGGGGGGTAACTGCATATATGTATTTATGAAGCTGCTGTTTTTATTTCAATTTGCGCATGGGTTCGACACACAATACCTGTGTCACTTGTCCAGATTTCAACTCCTAATAGAACAACATTTCAGGAAACACATATTTGATCCAGGCTACATCGCAGAAGTGCATGTACTCTATTTTTGTTGTGTCTTCAATTTCTGACGGAAACACATACCGTGGGCCCGTATTTATGAAACCATTCTCATGCTCAAGCATGGATGTTGTGCTTAAGCCTAATTTCTTGTTCCGGTTATAGTTAAATAAAAGAAATCTTATTTTGTCACTGATTTGGAAAAAAGTGAAGGCCATTTACTGTTTCCAAATTTTAATTTGATTTTTTGATCGTTTGACATGCCTTAAGGTGGCTCCAAACATCGTCATCAGCGTCCATTTTCGTGACGTACTCCCGGAAAAAGTACAGCTCGGACTCAATTATCTTGATCGAAATGTGCATGTACACCGTGTCGTCATTTCCGTATTGCGTATCGGGCATTCAATATCATAGTGCAAATTATAGTAACACCCAGGACCGTTTTCGTTTAAACGGTCAAACCGATCGGACCACTTCATTAAATAAGGTCGGACCTAGTAATCTGATGCTGCTTTCAGGCGAGCCTTGAGAAAGCCTTGCAAGGCCTGCATACACATTTGCAGGTCCGCCAGGATTTATACCCGAAATTGTTACATTTATAAACGGTCAAACCGGTTGTTCCGCATAAACGAACAGGTCCCTGGTAAACAGTCAACACCCGATATCGAGATTTTACCGGGAAATGTATAATCACACGTACTTCAGGAATAAAGCTTTCCAATTCATAGACATAAACAGACTCACGGGAAGACAGTGACATATGAGACCAGACGACCTCAAGAAACGCATGGAATGCGGACGTACCGACCTCACATGTGCATATCACGTGCTTACACGAGTTCATAAGCTCGAAGTCGTTACGATTTTCGCTGTTGAGGGAGTTTCGCTCTGTCGAATAAATCGTGTTTACAAATGTAGTCTACTTACTCTGTAAAGATAATGTTTTGTAAAATATCAAGATACCTATGAAATGCATGTGTGAGTGCACGTGAGAACGGCATCCCATGCGATAGCCTCTGGTCACGTATACCGTGAGTTAGCGGACTGTGGAATGATGTCCAAAGTGTACATGACTGAGGGTAATTTGGTTCCATTAAAGAACAATAAATTGATAATTTTGATATCTTATTTTTGATTTATTTCCATCATTTTTGTTATATGTAAACAGAGACAACTGTCATTGTGTAAATGTCATTCCTCAGCAAAACGTTCCGATTTTTTTCAAGGAAGATAACTCTCACCCGGATCAAAGTGATTGTAAAATGTAAAATAAATTAGTTGTAAAGCCATTGTGTATATTTTGTTCAATTTCCCATTCTATATGTATAGATTTTTGTGTCCTGTTTGCTTTTAGCTTGTAGATAATCGCTTTTATCCGTACAAATTCAATAAAAATCACTTTGTGTAACATGTGTTACATATTTTGCGATAAATAAAATATATGTAGGGTTAATTAGAAATGCTTCTTTTCATTTTATTATTGTTGTTATTGTTCCGAACAATGCCACACACACACAAAAACGGAAAATATTAAAATTGACGAACATTTATTTTTTTGGTATTTTTTCCAAAAAAGCTCCAAACTATCGGAATGTTTAGATTTTCATAAAATCAACTCTACATAGTTGCATAACCATTATATGAAAGTTTCAACGAATTTTGCTGGTTAATTGCGAAAGTGTGGAGCCACCTTAAGTGAGTTAAATTACAGCAAAACTGGTTTGAGCACATAGTCCATGCTTCAGCATGAGAACGGTTTCATGGATACGGGTTCAAGTGACGCTTGTCCTGTGTTCGAATTTCAGGGGAATTCTAAAGTGAATATATCCTGTCCCTATTAGTCCCGAATTCGACTCCTACTGGAAGCACTCACTGCCGCTAGTCCAGGGTTCGATTCATAATAGAAGACATTTTGGTACCATAAACATTGTCACCAACGTGTTACCGCTTGCACTTAATTACTAGTAAAAGACAATAGCATGACGTAATGATCGGTATAATAGAGATACCCTCTTGTGGCGTCACAAATTTGTTGCTAAGCTGCTTAGCAATCGGTGAAGGCGGAGATGATCAGTCTCTCCCCTGATATTTACTTCTTTTGTTTAAATCTTCGATTACCACAATGCATATCAGGTTATTCTTGATATTTGTCGTAATGATGTGCGCCATACACCAAGCGCCTGCTGTATATCGGGACCTCGCGTGGTAAGTTTGGACCAGACATTGTAAGATTAGATCATATGTTATTTTTTGACTTGACATTACGCAAAGATCTCGCGGAGCTCAAATGAACGTCAATAGCCTTTTCAAGTTTACGATTGTGTTGCCATTGAATTTTTAGAATTATTTACTCTTAACTTTATATATTTTTTCTCTCTAGCGTGGAGCCCGAGCCAGGATATGCAAAAAGATTGTTTTATTATTTCACCACAAGTGAAATTGAGAAAGTCTGTCCAACGGTTACTGAGCTGACATGGGTAAGGATTACATCTTTTTTAATGTTAATGACTGTCATGAAAACGTCAACAGTTTTTATTTTACTAATAGTTAAGTAAGCTTTTGCTTGTGATAATTTTTAACTGATTCTACTTCTCATCAATTTATTAAATACCTGGTATATTTTACGCGTGTGCATTTGGTTTCGTATGATTTTCTTGTGTGTATTTCGCAATATTATTAGCCACCAGCTATGCTTTGTTAGCCCAGTTTTGACGAAAAGGGCTTTCTTCTCCATTGACCGTATCCTAAGGGTCTTGAACATTGAATGTTTGTATCATAGTACTATTCCTTACAAATAATTATGACATGATTTATTTTAGCGAATTGGAAATGAGGTATTCTATAATCTGCTGTGTGTGCTTCTAACCCTGCTGTTGAGCTATGCAACGTTGGTCGGAAAAATCGTCAAAGAGAAATGGTCAGCCGCCGTGTCAATGTTCCAAGAATGGAGAGCTCGTAAGTAACCAGCGAAGGTTAAAATATTGAATAAAGCAGCCGTCTAAACAATTATGGTTTCTCACTTTCAGTTCTAGTGTTCTGTTTACCTTGTAATGAAGACGTTTTCGAAAATTAATGTACCTTTTTATGAACCTACCTTAACGTGCCACCTTCCGGATGATACACATTTTCTAGCATGGGAACCCTTTCAGAATCTTGCATACCTGTGTTCTCAGAGCAATGTTTTGATTGGATATTAAAGCAAATTGTTTGGTGACGTACAATGTAATTGTAATCTTGACAGACTTTAATTTCAAAGTATTTCTTTGGTCATGTTTAAAGAACGGGAACCACTTTCAATAAGCCTCGTAATTGGTTAGACTTGGGTGTTTGGAACCAGTCAGAACGCTAACTGTCAGTCCCAGATTTCGTCCTGATAAAATCTCAGGATGCATTTAAAATATAATGTTTTGTGTGCCGAAAACTTAAAACCTTGCATTGGATTTCGAAAATTTGTTTTGACATATTGAATATTTGTTTGTACAGGTCCTTCCCTCTGCCGTCACTGTGGTACTGCCCCGTGTCAGGTGAAAAGGAGATCCGTGTGGAAGCTCGCCGGTACTCGTAAGAAAGACAAGGCGAATTTTGCAAACGCCATGATGTTGTTTTACTATGGACTAGATTTGTCCGTGGTACTGACCAAAGAGCTGCCATGGAATGAGCTGCACCGGAAGAGGAAGTTCATCCAGCATTTTGAGGAGGAGCCTATGGTGTTGTTCCCACTGTGCATCCAGCGTCATATCAACTACTGGTACCCTGTCCCTCGCTAGGTATGTACTCTGTCCCTCAACTGGTACTATGTCCCTCGCTTGATTGGTGTTATATTCCTCTCTAGGTCCATTTCTAAATTGGTGCTATATCCCTCCCTATGTACTCTGTCCCTTGATAGGTTGGTACTATGTCCCTGCTAAGTACCCTGACCCTCGCTAGGAACAGTGTCACTCACTATGGTATATGTCCCTTGCTAGGTAGGTACTATATCCCTCTCTAGGTACCATATCCCTCGCTACGTTGGTACTTTATCCCTCTCTAGGTAATATGTCCCTCGCTATTTCGGTGCTATATCCCTCTCTAAGTACCATGTCCCTCACTAGGTTGGTACTATATCCCTCTCTAAGTACCATGTCCCTCACTAGGTTGGTGCTATATTCCTCTCTAGGTACCATGTCCCGCGCTAAGTTGCTACTATATACCTCTCTAAGTACCATGTCCCTCACTAGGTTGGTACTATATCCCTCTCTAAGTACCATGTCCCTCACTAGGTTGGTGCTATATACCTCTCTAGGTACCATGTCCCTCGCTAAGTTGGTACTATATCCCTCTCTAGGTACCATGTCCCTCCCTAAGTTGGTACTATATACCTCTATATGTACTATGTCCCTTGCTAAGTTGCTACTATATACCCCTCACTAGCTACTCCTCCCTGACTAAGTAGGTATACCTTGTCCTCGCTAGGTAGGTTCCACCTCAAAAGTAAAAAATGGGATAGATTGTTTGGATTTTGAATAATCAATTTCATACATATATTTTTAATTAATTTTCCTTAATGCCAAACTACAATGCATGACAACATATTCTGCAGTGGAGAAGGGACAGATTGTGCATTACGTTTACATGAAATTTGGTTATTTATTTATTTCATTGCAGATTCGTTTCGCCGTTCGAAGAGAAGAATGTGGATTGCTTTCGGTGATGGAATAACAGTTTGAGATTGACGTCTGAGACACGATTGTATTGTCTAAGTTGTTTTGAGGATCACGATCCGATCCGATTGGAATGGTGTTTGGCCAATGTTATATTGTACCTTATTCTTGTTATATTGAATTGTAACTCTATGGATCTTGACCACTAGTGGTTACGGGAAGAATTGAACCGATACCTGATGAATTGGCCATTTATAACTTAGCTAGTATTGTCCAGCAGTGGTCCAATTTATAAATGTCGATGGTGTTTGTTTTATTGGTCAGTTGCTAACATGTTTATATAGGCCATTCGGTGATTTGAGTAATTGTGGAGCTAGAAAGTTGACTAAGTAGCATTGGTCAGTTCGAAGTCGTTCGCTGTATGTTGATGCTCTCGGTATTTATTACATTACAAAGTTAGAACGATGTCGATCTTAACTGTTTGTTAGTGTTTCGAGAAAATTTGTCAAATACTCAACGAATACAATGTAGGCCAGCTCAAACCACCAGTGGTTCCACGCTGATTACGGCTATCATTTCGAAGGTTCTAATTCTGTCACATCTTGAAAGATATCGGTCCCTCGTACATTTATGCTATGCTTAGTATTGTGGCATATCAAAATGGATTGATTCTGCAATGACCGCTAATGGCATGGTCTGATGGTGCTGTCGTGGTCAGTTATTTACTCGGTCAACCTGACCCACAGCTTCTGTAAAACTACCAACATGCATAATTCTGTCCATTTTGTACTTGCTTTTGCGAATTTGTGTAGTAACAATCATGTGATCAATACAATTCTTCAAATTGATTTTCGTGTTCATATACTAGTTTTGTAACCATCGTTTTAAACATGTCATAGCTTCGTAAAAACGTATGAAATGTCATACATTGAAGTGAGACTTTGTTATATTACCGATACCTCGGCCCGTATTAATGAGAACGTCATCATGCTCAAGCATGGATTCTATATGTTCAAACCAACTCTGTTACTCACTTAAATAATGACACTCTCAAAATGCCAAATGTTAACATTGGAAATATACTTCGGCTTTAAGACTCCATAATTCTTCCAAATCATTGACAAAATGTTTATTTTACATTTATTACTGGAACAAGATATTGGGCTTGAGCACAGAATCTGGGTTTGAGCATGAGAACGTTTCCGTGAATACGGCCCTTGATTTACGGACATCCTCTAAATTTTTTATGCATCATGATATGATTAAAAGAAACTGATGTATCGCTATATCTACGTATTTTACGGATACATCGTCAAATCTGACTATATTACATGTATGAAGTCCCCCCTGATGTTCGGTACATGTATATGTATATACATGTACAATATAAATTATATAAAAAGAAAAAACAATCAAAAACACCGTCACGTCCTTAGCAAGAGATTCTCCATGTTTATCTTACCACACTATTCAGAAAGATGTACTTCCAATATTGAAAAATATAGAAAATCGTAGAGAATAGAGACGAAAGTATATACACGTATATGAAATTAAATTACAATGTATCTTTAGGTAGATTATATTTCGTTAAGCATTGAATAGTTTATTACAAATATGAAATGTCTATATATAATTAAAAAAAATATTGGTAGAGAGAGAGAGAGAGAGAGAGAGAGAGAGAGAGAGAGAGAGAGAGAGAGAGAGAGAGCTAGTCTTTTTATTCTGTTGGAAGAAGGATGTCTATATGCAAGCAAGTAGTTAGACAAACCCATCGTCGAGATTTACCATGATATTTACCAGAAGAACTTACTCAGGGTGATATAATTGCATGTATGTTAGATAAGTATAATTATAAACCTTATTAAATTCAGAAAGATTTGATATTGATCATAATGTACAGATATAAGCAATGGCTGTTTTTCGAAAAAGGCAGTATATGGCATATTTTATATTTGTATTACATTTTGAAGATACATGTACACACATCTAAAATAACATTGAAGGTTCTAATTTAATACAACTTAACTGCTCCCAAGGATTCCTATCTGAAGTGGCAGGGCGATGGTAATTACTTGAGACGGACCTCCTCAATATTAGATTGGATTAGCAATATAAAATTACTTAAGTTTTTAACTGTTTTAAATTTCATTCCATTTTTAACAGAGACTCTGATGTTTTGTGTATTTAATTTTCCCACGATATCATGCATTGTATTAAAACTAGTAATGTTATAGCATTGAACAGGTTTGCCACGCTCGACCATATATCTGTAGGTCCGGTACTGTAGCATAACTGTTTTCAACGGTTTTTAGTTTTACTTGTCCATGCATGTATTATATATTGTTAAAAAACATTTTAGAAAATGTCATGTAGCTACATATAGACTGGGTTTTTATCCTGAGTACCGTTTTAAGTACTTGGGGGATGCACTTGAATCCTCCCTAAAACTAATATCTACTTTCTTAGCCCCCACCCCTCTTAATTTGCTCGAGATATACAAAAAAGTGATTTACAATTTTACTATTGTTGGTATGGCTCTGAGAGATGTTGAATAGCCTAAAAATGATTGTTTTTCATAATTTGAGTTACCTTCCTTGCCACACAAAATCCTTCATATTAGCTGTCCGGTTCACAACCATTACTCCCTTCTCACACAGATTCTGTTTAAGTCAACAACTATCTGTATCTCTTTTCCAAGTTGTGTCCAAGAAACCTTAACTGATATTTTATCAGCAGTGATCTGGATGGATGTCACTGACACTCTAGGAAACTTTGTAGTCAGAGAAAAGTTTAAATCAGAACATCATAGCAAATAGTTTTAAAACACGTTATCAATGATCGAAATTTGCTGCCTAAGATATTTGTGTTGGATACAGCTGAAAACAAGTCGATGTTTATAATGTGAGCACAGAAAGTAGGCAATAACGCATCTACGTGCATACACCGATCTTCCTAGCAGTTGATGGCTGAAACGCTGTATCTTATGCTTGATAAATGTGAGTTTTCGAAACTCTAATATATAGGATGCGTAAAAATAGTCGGATTTCCTTATTACTCCATACCGGTGTATATGTAATTAATTCACAGTGTTCTTCACATTTTTATTACTGATACAGTACTAAGGTAACGGGAGATAGAAAAATGCACCGCCAGACCAGGGTTCGAACCCGGAACCCTCCGAACTGTAGCAGGCGCTTTACCAGTTGAGCCACCTGATCGCCGACGATCGACCAGTCCAGTTACGCTACACTACAAAGAGAAATAGAAACTGACTACATGTACCATTGTATATACCTGTGTAGACAACGTTATCAACCGCAGCAACAAGTAGAATGCCATATTTGGACTATTTAAACTTATACTATTGTTAATGTTCCATATCATATTAATCAATTTCAAACACTTGTACCTTAGTCATACTTGTACTCTGTGAAATACTTCAAACAAAATAGAAGTGCCTAAAAAAAGAAGTTTTTACATGAATTTCTATAGATGCAGGCCGATGAAAGTTATGGATAAATTTATAGACACCATCACGATCTCATTGAGTAATAAACTGTTTGTTGGTACGGTATGAGGGTCACATTTTTTATAATGCTTTCGAGTGTCTTGTTTTGTCGTTGTCACTATCTTGGTTCCCACATTGAAGACTTAGAATTTATTACATTTGACCTAGATACATGTAGGTATATATTTGGCACAAGTATCGTCAATGTTGAATAAAACGCTTACTAATTCTTAGTGAAGATAATAGTTCAGTTCTTGACGTCCTGAAATTTAAATCCTTGGTATTGGCCAAATAACAATAATCTGTTGATCTTGTAATATCTGTCTTATGACCCACAGCGAGGTATTATCTGCGAAGCCTTTTTATATTAATTAATAAATATATCAACTATATCATTGATAAAAAGGAGGAAGAAAAAAAGACAATGAACAGACGTCTTGGAAACTCTTGCATTAACAAGTATCTTTTTGTTGATTTATATATTTTATTTTGTTTATTTGTCGGAAAATGGTTATGCAGCCCTTGTGGAATACATCGAAATTGAGATGAGGGTTGATTTGTTCCTAACTTTAAACAAACACAGCTAGTTAATTGTGCAGTTTATCTATATAGTGTACATGTATAATTGGCATTCAACAGGTCAGAAACACATTGCGTTCAAACGACAATAACGTTTCTATTAAATCTTGGACAGTAAATTTATTCTGGGGATATGTAAATGCTTTTGTAGACATGAAACAAACGAGTAGGCGACATGTACATAATGGATTTAATGCCGTAAACCCCTGTTTTTTCAGTCAATAAAACAACTAGATCGCACGTTTGTCTGTGCGTGACTTGGGATAATTGTTTGACGAATGTAAGCAGATGACGGACATTAAACAAAGGCAAGTACATGGCGTTATCGTTGAATGATGTAAGGAGTATGTTGGACGTATATATCTAAAACATCCCTCCGTGTCTAGCGTATGTGGAGCGGGTGTCTCTAAAACATCCCTCCGTGTCCAGCGTCTGTGGAGCGGGTGTCTCCAAAACATCCCTCCGTGTTCAGCGTATGTGGAGCGGGTGTCTCTAAAACATCCCTCCGTGTTCAGCGTATGTGGAGCAGGTGTTTCTAAAACATCCCTCCGTGTTCAGCGTATGTGGAGCGGGTGTCTCTAAAACATCCCTCCGTGTTCAGCGTATGTGGAGC